GTCTCACTTTATAGCCCTCAGTAGAGTGCCGTGGTGTCACACAGCTCACAGCAACCTCCAACTCCTGGACTTAGGCTATTCTCTTGCCTCAGCCTCCCGGGTAGCTGGGACTATAGGTGCCTGTCACAATGCCTGGCTATTTTTTTGTTGCAGTTGGGCCAGGGCTGGGTTTGAACCCTCCACTCGTGGTATATGGGGCCAGCGCCCTACCCACTGACCACAGGCACTGCCCACCTCTGTGTTTTTATAAAGAGTCTTTTTTTTCTTTATAAAAAGAGTAAAATTCTTTGGGAAAGCCCATAAGGGGCCCAGTTGCTCTGGAATTAACATAGCCAATAAGGAAGAAAAGATACTCTAGGACCTAAATTTAGATGTCATTCTGTTTTTCCTGGCCCATGCCATCAGGCTATCATTTCCTTTTATTTTAAATATTTTTTTATGAGATGAAATCTACATAGCAAATACATTTTAAAGTGAATGAGTCAGAGGCATTTAGTACATTTACAGCTACCACCTCCTTATTGTTCCATAACATTTTCATTACTCCAAAAGGAAACCCCATACCCATTAAGCAGATGCTCCTCACTCACCCCTTTTCCTGGCCCTGGACAACCACCAATTTGTATTCTGTCTCTGTAGATACTAATTCTAGATATTTCATATAAATGGAGTTGTCTTAGTCCATTTAGTGTTGCTCTAAAAGCATAGATGAGGCTGGGCAATTTATAAAGAGAAGAGATTTATTAAGTTCACGGTTCTGCACAGTGTATAAGAAGCATGGCCCAGCATCTGCTGCTGGGGAGGGCTGCAGGCTGCTTCCACTCAGGGTGGAAGATGAAGGGGAGCTGGCTGGTGCAGATAACGTGGCAACAGAGTAAGCAAGAGAGCAAGGAAGGTGCTGGGCTCTCTTTTTAACATTTAGCTTTCAGAAACTAATAGAGTGAGAGCTTACTCATTACCACAAGGACTGCACCAAAACCATTCATGAGGGATCCGCTCCCATGACTCAGACCCCTGCTGTTAGGCACCGTTTCCAGCATTGGTGATCAGATTTCAGTGTGAAGTTTGGAGGGTCAAATATCCAAACTATAGAAGGAGTCATACAATATGTGACTTTTTATATCTACTTCTTTCATGTAGCATAATGTTTTACAAAGCAGTGTTTTTTAAACTTTTTTTTATCTCGTGGCACAGTTGAACCTATAGTTAAACTTCCATGGCACTTAGATTATGTTGATCAAAAAGAAGAAAAAAGAGTATACTACTGTGCTTTGAACTTCTTTCAAAAATAATTTGTGATCTTCAAAATTTTTCATGGCACACGTAAGATCTCGTAGTACGCAAGTTAAAAATCACTATTTTAAAGGTGTGGCATAGTGTAGCATGTATCACAGTTTCCCTTGTTTTTATGCTGAATAATATTCCATTATATGTATATACAATTTATCCATTCATATGTTTTTTTGCTTTTTTTTTTCTTGAGGCAGAGTCTCACTCTGTGGCCTGGGTAGAGTGTTGTGGCATCATAGCTCACAGCAACCTTAAACTCGGGTGATCCCCTTTCCTCAGCCTCCCTGGTAGCAGGGACTACAGGCATCCGCCAGAATACCCAGTTAGTTTTTTTTTCCTCCCATTATGTATGTATGTATGTATGTATGTATTTATTTGAGACAGAGCCTCAAGCTGTCACCCTGGGTAGAGTGCTGTGGCATCACAGCTCACAGCAACCTCCAACTTCTGGGCTCAAGCTATTCTTTTGCCTCTACCTCCCAAGTAGCTGGGACTACAGGTGCCTGCCACAAGGCCCGGCCATTTTTTGGTTGCAGCCATTGTTGTTGTTTGGTGGCCCCAGACTGGATTTGAACCCACCAGCTCTGGTGTATGTGGCTGGTGCCTTAGCTGCTTGAGCTACAGGCACCGAGTCTTTTCTCCCATTTTTAGTAGAGATGGCGGTCTCACTCTTGCTCAGGCTGGTTTCAAACTCCTGAGCTCAGGCAATCCACCCTCCCCAGCCTCCCACAGTGCTAGGATTACAGGTGTGAGCCACAGTGCCTGGCCTGTCTATTCATCTCTTGATGGACATTTGGGTTATTTCCATCTCTTAGCACCTCTGGGAACATGCATATGCAGTGTTTGTTTGAGTCCCATTTTGAATTCTTTTGGCCATATACTTAGGAGGAGAATTGCTGGATCATATGGTAAATTCTAGTTTTAACTTTTTGAGGAACCACTGAACTCTTTTTACAGTAGCTGAATCATTTTATCCTCTTAGCAGCCATGTATAAGGATTCCAATTTTTGTATGTTATAACCACTGCTTACTATTTTCTGTTACTTTGCTTGTAGCCAGCCTTGGGATATAAAATGGTACCTCTGTGGTTTTGTTTTGTTTTGTTTTTGAGGCAGTCTCAAGCTGTTGCCCTGGGTAGTGTACCCTGGTGCCACAGCTCACAACCACCTCAAACACTTGGGCTTAAGCAATTCTCTTGCCTTAGCCTCCCAAGTTGCTGGGACTACAGGTGCCCACGACAACGCCTGGCTATTTTTTGGCTGTAGTTGTCATTATTGTTTGGCAGGCCCGGGCTGGATTCGAACCTGCCAGCTGGAGTGTATGTGGCTGGCGCCTTAGCCACTTGAGCTACAGGCGCCAAGCCCTCATTGTGGTTTTGACTAGTATTTCCCTAAATAACTAATGTTGGCGAGCATCTTCCTGCTCTTGTTAGTCACTTACATTTCTTCTTTGGAGAAATGTGTATTCAAGTCCTTTTTCCATTTTATTTATTTTGTTTATTTATTTATTTTTTGTTTCAAGATAGAGTCTCTCTATGTCACCCTCGATTAAGTGCTGGGGTGTCACAGCTCACAGCAACTTCAGACTCTTTGGGCTTAAGCAATTCTCTTGCCTCAGCCTCCCAACTACAGGCACCCACCACAACACCTGGCTATTTTTTGGTTGCAATTGTCATTGTTGTTTAGCGGACCTGAGCTGGGCTCAAACCCACTGGCCTCGGTGTATGTGGTGGGTGCCCTACTCACTGAGCTATAGGTGCTGCCTCCATTTAATTTTTTTTATACAGAGTCCCATTCTGTTGCCCTCTGTAGAGTGCCTTGGCATCACAGCTCACGGCAATCTCAAACTCTTGGGCTTAAGTGATTCTCTTGCCTCAGCCTCCCAAGTAGCTGGGGCTATAGGCACCTGCCACAACGCCTGGGTCTTTTTTCATTGTTGTGGCAGTTGTCATTATTGTCTTAGCTGGCCTGGGATGGTTGAGCCTGCCAGCCTCTGTATATGTGGCCGGTGCTCTACCCACTGAACTGTGGGTGCTGCCCTGGCTGTTATTTTTGTTGTTGCTATTGTCATTGTTTAGCTGGCCTTGGCCAGGTTTGAACCTGTCAGTTCTAGTGTATGTGGCCAGTGCCCTAACCACTGAGCTATGGGCACCAGGCCCCCTTTTCCCATTTTAAAATGAAGTTTTCTGTGACTTTGTTGTTGAGTTGTGTAAGTTCTTTTTTTTTTTTTTTTTTTTTTTGAGACAGAGTCTTATGCTGTTACCTTGGGTAGAGTGCTATAGTGTCATAGCTCACGGCAACCTCAAACTCTTGGGCTTAAGTGATTCTCCTGCCTCAGCCTCCCAAGTAGCCGGGACTACAGGCGCCCACCACAATGCCTGGCTATTTTTTGTTTTTGTTGTTGTTGTCATTGTTATTTAGCAGGCCCAAGCTGGGTTCAAACCCACCAGCCTTGGTGTATGTGGCTCGCGCCCTACCCACTTAGCTATGGGCACCATCCTGAGTTCTGCAAGTTCTTTATGTATTCTAGATACTAGACCCTTATGAGATAAATTATTTGCAGATATTTTTGCTATTCTGTAGATTGTCTTTTCACTTGCTTGACAGATAATTTGGACTCAACAAAATTAAAAACTTTTGTGTATCAAAGAATACTATTTTTTCTTTTGTTATCCATGCTTTTAGTGTCATATCTGACAATCCATTGCCAAATTTAGGGTCATGAAGATTTCAATCTATTTTTCTTCCAGGAGTTTTATGGTTTTAGCTGTTACATTTAGGTCACCGATCCATTTTGAGTGAATTTTTGTATATAGAGTGAGGTAGGTGTCCATCTTCATTCTTTTGCATGTGGATATTCAGTTGTCCCAGCATCATTTGTTAAAGAGACTATTCTTTCCTTATTGAATGGTCTTGGTACCTTATTGAAATTCAGTTGGCCATAGATGTGTGAGTTTGTTTGTGGGGTCTCAGTTCTGTTCTTTGCATTTACTTTGGTATAGGCTGAGTTTCTCGTTTTTCTCCCACTGATAATAGGATCATGGCGTTGACAGCAGCATTTTCCAGAATCCCAAAAAGCTTCATCTGACTATAGGGATGTTGGTGCTTTTGAGTGAGGATGAGGTCCAGCAGACACGTGAGATGCTACAGCAGTGTAAAGAAGAATTCATTAAGTGAGTAGCCCTCAGGGATGGGAAGGGTGTTCCATCTGGGCTAATTTCTTTTTGGTATTACAGGCTTGTTTTTGGACTAGGGGGCTGGATGCCATGGGAACAGGTTTTTTTTTTTTTTTTTTTTT